GCAGACTTGTCAGCCTTCACAATTAACTGAGTCAATTCCTTAAATCTCCTTACATATATACATACATATATGTATGTGTCCGACTCTGTGCAACCCTATGGACTACAGCCCATCAGGCTCCTCTGTCCATGGGGATTCTCCAGGCAAGAATACTGGAGTGGGTTGCCGTGCCCTCCTCCAGGGGATCTGCCCGACCCAGGGCAGATTATGTCTCTTGTGTCNCAGGCTCCTCTGTCCATGGGGATTCTCCAGGCAAGAATACTGGAGTGGGTTGCCGTGCCCTCCTCCAGGGGATCTGCCCGACCCAGAGATCGAACCTGTGTCTCTTACATCTCCTGCGATGGCAGGCAAGTTCTTTACCACTGGCACCACCTGGAATTGACATATATATTTCTGATTCTATGGAAAATCCAGACCAATTCAATCTTATTTGTGTACTTGAGTACTAGCAGTAGTTTTTAAGATGGAAATTCAGAACCATTCAATCTGGATGAACCGTCTTCCTGCTCCTCTGAGTTTGTACTAAGTGAATGGACAGCATTCTTAGTTTCAATTCAAATGTGACAAAGTGCTGTCTAGGGAAGTGAGACAGATGTTTGGGTTGTCAGGCTGCCTGGGGGTACACACAGGAGAACTCTAGTGGGTAAGAGCTAGCAGGGAGCATCCACCAAATGAGACCCATAGGGTTTAGACCAGCTTTCCACTCACGGCTGGAAACAAAGACCTACAAAGGAGTAAGCTTTGAGGACAGAATGTGAAGAAATCTGTGCTGTTAAGAGCCTGTTGGGGAAGGACAGGTTTCCTAATCAGATGGAAAAGTCAAACAAGAATATATCCCACAATAGAAGAACACTTTTTTTTTTTTTAAACAAATATGACATAGGCAATGAGAATACACATAATATGCAACTAAAATCCAAGCCCAACATGTAATGTTAAACAGAGGCTCTAAATGACAAAATTACTGCCATGTGCAAAGAATGGTATTACTCTTTCCATTCTTTACAAGAGTGATCTAGTCTTTGCCCATGAATGAGTCAGTTTCCTAAAATACGGAGTTCTTTCTTAAGAAGACCTGCACTCTGCTTACATTTCTCACGACCACTAAAGAACAATTAGCATTAACTCTTTCTAGTCTTCTAGTTTCAAAGAACTCAACGGCCCGTACTAGAAGTGATAGGGATAAAGAGACCAAGTAGGTGATTAAACAGTCAATCCCACTAGGGGATTGTAAGTTAAAAAAAATATGGGAGACCCTTGTAAGTTAATGATTACTCAAGAAAGCAGGTGTTCTTAACCACAAAACCAAGCAGGCTTGCTTGGCAACAAAACCATGCAACAGAAGCATGAGACATGCCCCCAAACAACAAAACAATGGTGGCTTGAGACCCACTGCTGCCCGTGAATTCAATAAGTTAATGATCCCTAGGACATGCTCTCTGCGCACATAAAAAACAATAACTTGTGGACCTAGCTTGACCATATAGGGACAAGAAAACCCCCTTGCCCAACCTGGGGGAGGAGCTGATGATGGAAGCCTGTCTACTCAAGAAAGACAAAGTTCTTCTCCATCTCCTCACTTTTCCTTTGATTATATAAAACTATAGCCCAGGAAGTTCTCTGTGCATGGCACCCCCTCACCCATCCTCTTGTAAGCCTCACAAGCATCTTATTATCTCTTTTCTTCTTGCTTAATTCTTTCTGCACTGAGACATAAACTGTGGTACAGAAGCTTTTTGAAACAACACCAAATGATTTCCGAAGCAAGATGCGTTTCCAAACTATTCAAAGATTCAAAAATAGAAAAATGGGATGTCAAGTTATAATCCTGATCTTTCTCTGTCCCTTTCTGGCTAGCTGCTCACCGAATCTGTTTTTCTTTGTCCTCCACAGTTAGACTACATTTCCCAGGCTTGCAGTTGGATGTGGTTATATGACAAAGTTTTGGTCAGTGGAATGTGGAAGAAAGTCATGTGTAACCAGTTCCTGGACTGCCCTCCCGGCCAGACCTCCCACAAGTGATCCTCCACGCTTTTTTCTTTTTGGCAACAATCTTGGAAATGCTTAGTGGAAGACAGACACCACAAGGTGGAATGAACCTGGCTCCCTTTATCACCACCTGGAGAGCTGCCTGCTGACCGGAAACACCTGTGTTGGACTTCATCTGCGCAATAAACTTCCATGTGTTAAGTCATAGTGATTAGGGTTTTATCTGCTAAGACAGTGAATTCTCAATCAACATGGTGAGTGAACAGCATTACTTTCACTTTCAATGTACTGGAGGGGAAGGGCACACATTTGCTTTAATCTATTGATTGGGACTGTCATTTATAGCAATGTTTTGGTCAGTGGAATGTGGAAGAAAGTCATGTGTAACCAGTTCCTGGACTGCCCTCCTGGGCAGTTAATATAATGACATGACAAATCAGCCCCAAATGTGGATGCCACATAGAATTTATTACAAGACTGAATATATGATAGAAGTGACTTAGCACAGATTTATCAGTTAAAAATAATTTCTCAGAATTTTAACAGCATGGTTCTATTATTTCAGTTTTTCTTTCATTCTCTTTTTCCTTCCTTACAGGTATTTCAAATTCAGTAGGTCCACAGCCAAAATCAAATGCCACCAGAAAATCCTGTTACCTCCAACTTTTTAATCTATCCTGAATCAAATTTTTTATTGCATCCAATTCTCTAGTCTGAATTACCAACATTCCTCTCCTGAACCTATAATTAATTGGTCTTCATGCTTCTATGTATTTTAAAATTGTAAAATACTTTAAACTATCTGTACCTTTATACTTTTTACTATATAAAGAAGTATGAAATTGTACATAATCATAAACATGGAATTTGCTGGTCCTGAGCATGTCATACTTTGGCCACCTGATTCGAAGAACTGACTCATTGGAAAAGACCCTGATGCTGGGAAAGATTGAAGGCAGGAGGAGAAGGGGACAACAGAGGCTGAGATGGTTGGATGGCATCACTGACTCAATGGACATGAGTCTGAGTAAAGTCTGGGAGTTGGTGATGGACAGGGAAGCCTGGTGTGCTGCAGTTCACGGGGTCACAAATAGTCGGACACAAATGAGCGACTGAACTGAACTGAGCATGTCAGCAGCCTCTTACTGCAACACCTGGGACTCTGTCTAGTAGTTGGTGTGTTCAGTCATACACAGGTCAGGGCGTTGACAACCCTGGGAGTAGCCCCCATCAATGAGTGGGGGATAAATACTCCAGCTTTCCTCCCCTCCATTTCCCAGATATTTCAGCAGTATTGAGTTTGTAACCCAATGGGAACCTGCTCGCTGACCTTGAACTGGCCTTCTTACCTTCCCGGTTTTACTTTTCCACATACCAACTGATGCTTTCTGATATCATCTACCAAAAAATTGGTATTAGTGAGAATGCCACATCTGCTGTGTGTGGATGGTACCTTGCTGTAGTTTTAATTTGCATTTCTCCAATTAGGCAGGGACATCTTTATATATATATTTGGTCATTTGAGTTTCCTCTTTTCTAATTGGCTTCCTTCTTTTTCGTGTCAGTATCTAAGATCTATAAATTCTGGATACTAATAGTTTTCTGGTTATGTTCCTTGCAGAGAGCATCACTGTTTTCTTGTGGTTTGTAAGTCTTCCGCAGTATTGGTTCCTATTTTTCTGTGTGATCTGTCTTTTCCCTCTATGAAGATTTTAGGATATTTCTTTTTATTTCTGATGGTCTGTATCCTAATTTTATTGCTAAACATAAAGAGCTCTATTTATTAAGTCATTTTTTAAAATAAAAATAAGCACATAATACTTCAAAAAATCTAATCACAATAGACATACCTAATGCAGAAAATAATACTCCAAAGTGGTATTAGTTTATTATTAGTGGTAAAGTCAATAGTTTGCCACATGCTTTTTCCCACACATTAACATTTATTAAACATTTTGAGTTGATACGTAAGTTGCTTCTTAGCAGTTTTTGGCATTTTTCAGTCATCTTTTCTACTGCTGCAGATGTTACATCTTATAGACACATTAAATCATTCTGTTAATCAACATTTGGGTTCTTTCTAAGTTTAAAACAAAATTTTGCAACAAATATTCTTGGGCCCATCTCTGTTCAGGAATAATTTTTAGAAGTGGAAGTCCTGGGTCCAAACCCAGAATATTTTAAATTTTAATTGATATTGCTAACTTACACACTGAAAAGGTTGTACCAATTTATAAGGCAGAAAATGCTATTTTTTTATATTAGTAATCTAAATCTTTGCTAACAGATGGGTAAAACATGGTTTAGTCTTCATTTTTTAATTCTGTGATGTTTAGTTTCTAACTTACTAATTTTGGTTTCTAGCAATATTTATTCTCAACTTATTACCTTTTAAAATTTTAGCCATTATGCTTGATTTTAGATTATCCTTTTTTGTAAAGAGCAGCCAATTCTTGTTCTATCATTGTAACATCCTGTGAAATCTCACTGAAGGTCAGAAACAAAGTTTTTAAAGGTCTCAGACGTTCTCTTAACCATCGAAAGGTAGTGTTGTACCTGTCCATCATTATCCTTGTGGAATGGTCTGAGCGGACAGAATTTTTTTCAGTAGTGTGAGCTATATGAAGTAATTCTTAGTCCCTCTTCTGATCTAATTTAATAACTGGATGCTAGTCTTTCTGTCTATGGCCCATTTCTGACCTCTGGACTTGGCCCCAGCTCTGCAGGCCCTGGTTTCAGCCCTCGCCACCGGGGGACTCTCCCACTTCCCGCTGTCTGGATATATTCTACCCGAGGTGGTGTTGGTAACCTACTCCCGCCCCTTAATGGGAATTCAGACAGTTACAGCAAGAAACGTTTTACAAATGGTATCTGACATAGTCTAGTTAAGGTTAGTGGGGAACATACAACTATGTAAGAAACAGGGAGCTCATGAGAACCTACTATATAGCACAGGGAACTCTATTCAATGCTCTGTGGTGATCGAAGGTAAGGAAATCCACAAAAGAGGGGATATATGTATAGCTTTTTCACTTTGCTCTAACAACATTGTAAAGCAAGTATACTCCAATAATAATTAATAAAAAAAGGTTAATAGGGAATAAAAGTACATTGATTAGAAGTAATCTAAAGTGAACAAAGTCTCTACAACAAAAAATATAGTTTTTTTGGGAGGGGAGAAAGGCTTGAAATAGACAGGAAAACATTGTCACATTAATTGTTCTTTTCATATACTTCAAATTTGTACTTAATGCCTTTTTCCTCCTGGACATCCAAAGGAACACCTGGGTATCTGTAAAAGAAAAAGATGTATAATTAAATACTATGCAAATATATTACACATGCAAATAGTTAAGAAAAACCTCAAACTATATAGAAAGTTAGAAAATGAAACATATAATTCTTCTTCCTTTCCTTCTTACTCCTAATTCTTCTCCTCCAAACTGATCACTGTTAGCAATTTCTCTTTATCTTTCCGCTCAATTATCCAGCTAATATGAAATTTCTTAAGGATGTTTTGTAAATCTTAAACTTGTTATCAAATTTCTTATGTGAGCAAAGGGAAAATAAAATTCAACCTTCAGCTGTCAGAGTGGAACTGAAGTTATATGTGATGTATGGTAATTCTTGATTTCTGTTTAATTCGTGCACGACACTGCTCTAATTCCCCACTGTGTGGCTTATTGCAAATCCTTTACTAGAGTCACTGTTTATTTTTTCTATGCCCTAACACTCACTTAGGTTGGTGTTCCCACCAGCTTTTAAGCCAAAACCCAGACCCTCCTTTGGGTATATACTTAGAAGTGGGATTGCTGGATCATATGGTAGTTCTACTTTTAGTATTTTGAAGAGCCATCATACTGGTTTTCATAGTGGCTGCACCATTTTACATTTCTATCAGTAGTGTGCAAGAGTCCTAATTTCTCCACATCCTTGCCAACACTATCTTTCATTTTCCTGGTAAGTGAAGTCACTTAGTAAGTGAAGTCCGGTAAGGCTCTTAAAGAGATATTTGCACTTCCATGTTCAGTACAGTCAAGATATGGAAACTATAGCGACAAATGAATATATAAAGAAAATATGTATACTTAAAATAGACTATCATTCAGCTTTCAAAAGAGAAGGACATCCTGCCATCTGTAACAACATGGATGAACCTGGAGGACGTTATGCTAAGTGGAATAGGTCAGTCACGGAAGGACAGTATTGCATGATTCTTCTTACATGAGAAATCTACAATGGTCCAATTCATGGAAGCACAGGAGTGCAAGGGTGGTTCAGAGGGGCTGGGGGAAGGAGGTAACAGGGAGCAGCTGTTCAAAGGGTATGTACACTTTCAGCAGGATAAGTCAGTCCTGGAGCTGTTCTGTGTGACACTGCCTATAGTTTACAATACAGTATTGTATTGCTGAGGGTGAAGGAGCGTGAAAAAGCCAGCTAAAAACTCAATATTACAAAAACTAAGATCATGGGCATCTGGTCCTATTACTTCATGGAAAATAGAAGGGGAAGAGGTGGAAGCTCTAATAGATTTCCTTTTCTTGGGCTCTAAAATCACTGTGGATGGTGACTGCAACCATGAAATTAAAGACGATTGCTTCTTGGCAGGAAAGCTATGACAAACCTAGACAGTGTGTTAAAAAGCAAAGACATCACTTTGCCAACAAATGTCCGTATAGTCAAGGCTATAGTCTCTCCAGTAGACACAAATGGTTGTGAGAACTGGATCATAAAGAAGGCACAGTGCTGAAGAATTGAGGCTTTCCAACTGTGGTGCCGGAGAAGACTATTTATAGTCCTTTGGACAGCAAAGAGATCAAACCAGTCACAACATAGATGACCTTACAAACAGAATACTAATTGAGAGACTTCATATTATATGATTCTGTTAATATGAAATATCCAGAATAGGCATTATCTATAGAGATAGAAAATAGATTAAGTGTTCCTAAGAGCCAAGATGGGAGAATAAAGAGCAGCTGCTAATGTGCACAAGGATTTTTTTGGGGGGTGGTGAAAATGTTCTGAACTTGAGATTGTGGTGATAGCCACAAAATTCTGAATATACTAAAAACCACCAAATTTTATTATTTCAAATGGATGACTGTTGAGATGTGTGAATCATTTCTCAGTAAAGATTGTCATTTTTTTTTTTCCTAAGAGTCAAAAAGCCAGCCCTGTATTTAAGTTATAAAGGATTCTAAAGGGTCACAGCTTTGCAAGATGTCTGATTGAGAGCAACAGGGTTTAGAAAGGTATTTTAAAGGTATTTAATATGAAGCTGATTCACATAGTAATTTATTCTATTTGTTAGTAGCAAAAAAAGAAAGGTAAAAAAGAGGGACAGCAGGGAACAGTATCCACAGAAGGTGAGAATCAGCAATCTAAGCAGTACAAGAGAAAATAAGGTGGGACAAAGAAACACAGACAGTTTTTAAAAACTGTATATACGGTGGTGGTTTAGTCATTAGTTGTGTCCAACACTTTGCAACTCCATGAACTGTAGCCTGCCAGGCTCCTCTACCACTGGATTTCCCAGGCAAGAACACTGGAGTGGGTAGCCATTTCCTTCTCCAGGGAATCTTCCCAACCCAGGGATCAAACCTGATCTGTGCTGCAGGTGGATTCTTTACTGACTGAGCCACCAGGGAAGCCCCACACGTTTATACAACTGAAATCAATAATGTGATTTTTCTAAGCAGTCACCTTTGGAGACCACATAAGCAAAAGGCTGTACTTTGGTTGTTTAGGAAATTTTTAGAGTTCTTAAGAGTTCCCAGATTTTTTTAGAGCTAGTTAAGAGCCCAAGAAAATCAGTTACACACTTCATTTGATCCAAGACCATTACCTATATTATTCTAAAAGAAAATGCAAATGGCTCAGTCATGTCCAACTCTGCAACCCCATGGACTGTAGCCTGCCAGGATCCTGTGTCCATGGAATTCTCCAGGCAAGAGTACTGGAGTGGGTAAGCCTATTCCTTCTCCAGCGGATTTTCCCAACCCAGGAATTGCACCGTGTCTCCTGCATTGCAGGCAGATTCTTTACCAGCTGAGTTACCAGGGAAGCCCCAACTCTAGAAAGTAATATACTTTACTCTAAAGCTTTATAGTAAATATATACAATATACTTTACCCTGAAAAAGTATGACTTAATTGAGACTGGCCCTCATCATCCATTTATACAGACTTTGCTCGGAATGTTGCTTTTAGGAGGAATTTCCAAAATCAAACTGGCACTCAGAGAAAGACTGTTTTCAACCGAGAATGTCTGAAAGAATGTGTTAAGAGCTAGTCTAAAAGTGTTGGTATAATTAATCTTCTACTCTCCATAGCCAACAGCTGAAAAGTGCTTTTAAACTAAAATGTTTTCACAGTCAGTTTCATGCTAGAAGCACAAGTACAGAGTATATCAAATGTAACCTCTTCTTCCACCACCACCACTGCTAAGTTCCTTTATCTTTCACCTGGACTACTGTAACAGGCCTCCCTCCTTCACTCCTGTCCCTCCAGCCCACTCCCTGTAACAGGAGAGTGAAAGTGAAAGGTGCTCAGTGTCTGACTCTTTGCGACCCCATGGACTATACAGTCCATGGAATTCTCCAGGCCTACTGGAGTATTTCTGCCCCCAGGTCTCTTGCACCAGCTGCTTCTGGTTTCTGGAATGCTCTTCTCAGGTCTCTGTGTGGCTGGCTTCTTGCTGTTTAGCTCTCAGTGTCGGCATCACCATTCAGAAAGGACTTCTCAGACTACACAGCATCTACCACATTGCAGTATTTCAATTCACCACACAGCAGCAACTCTTTGGATGCTTATCTGTTATTCACCCCCCTCCTCCTCTGTTATGAGAAATGTGATCTGGAGCATAGTGATAGTAACATCACCTGTCTAGGTAAGCACTATATCCCCAGTGCCTAAGGCAGTGGTCTGATCCTGAATAAGCAGACATCTCACAGAACGAACTAAGGCCGACTCTCTAGATTTCAGCAAAATCACTAAAACCTGAACCTTCCCAAGTGTGTTAAAGCAGATACCCAAAATTCCTATAGCATATGTCTATAAAACACATGACTACCTTGAATTCTATCTGAAAACACATTCTCTTTTTTACAGTTCTTAAGCAGGAAAGCCAAAGGTGCTTCAGACTAATTGATAACATTTTACTTACTCTGGAAGAAGTTTATATTTTTCAAAATCAATTTCTGGGAAAAACGTATCACTTTCAAATTCTTGCATGATCCTTGTCACAAATAGTCTAAGATGGCCTGGCTTGTTCATGGCTTCCTTTGAAACAGAACAAAAGGCATTAATTTCCTTATTTATCTGTCTAAAGATATAGAAACTCTAATATTTTGTTTTAAAAACCTCCAAAGTATGCTATAATTATCTTATTCTTCACTCTGGGTCCCTGCAAAAGTATGACTTAGCTGAGAATGGCCCTAATCATTTATCAATAATTACAAGGGTGAATTCAAATATACTCTGGGCTCTAGTTTGCTTGCATAAACTCTTTTTGCATCTAAGCATTCAATCTGTCTTTTATCTTTGGTTGTTGTTTAAGAATGAAAACCCCCAAATTATCTACTTTCCCTCCATGGAAAAAACTTACATATGTATGTATATATGGATAAGACAGTAATTTCATAAAACTTTGACTAATGAAAATCCCAAGGGCATACTTAGTACCTTTACATAAAATTTAATAATGCTTCAATTTCTCAGCAGATAGTCACAATGCTAGTAGGTAACACATTCTGTCTGTTGTTGCCAATGATTGCATTTGGTCTTATAGAGATGGTACCACTGCCTATAACACTGTTGCTAGTTTCTACAGAAAAAACTGCCCTGGAACAAATATCTTAAAATTCGAATACAAACTCAGGTGTCAGTCCCAACTGCAGCTCTAAGAAAGCAATAACTCTTGATTTTGAAATAGCTTACAGAGGGAAAAAAACCCCACAAAACCATATACATATAAATTCAAGTGTTTGTAATCCTTAAGATTCCACATAAAGGTCATAGAACAAATTTTACTTTTTATTTTCAATACTATGCTGCTGCTAAGTCACTTTAGTCGGTCCGACTCTGTGCGACCCCATAGATGGCAGCCCACCAGGCTCCCCTGTCCCTGGGATTCTCCAGGCAAGAATACTGGATTGGGTTGCCATTTCCTTCTCCAATGCATGAAAGTGAAAAGTGAAAGTGAAGTCGCTCAGTAGTGTCTGACTCTTTGCGACCCCATGGACTGCAGCCTACCAGGCTCCTCCGTCCATGGAATTTTCCAGGCAAGAGTACTGGAGTAGAGTGCCACTGCCTTCTCCGTTTCAATACTATGGCTTCCATTAAATCAGTTTTTCTCTTGCCCCAACCGGATCAATTCTTACTGTACCAAAAAATTAGAAAATTTTAAGGGACTAATCACAGTAGCATTTGAAGATCTATATCAAAGTTAATGATATTTGTACAAGTATATGTGTGACTGAGTCCCTTCACTGTCCACCTGAAACTCCCACAACGTTGTTAATTGGCTATACCCAATACAAAATAGAAAGCTTAAAGTTTGGGAAAAAAAAATAGTTAATGATATTTGGTCCAGTGTTTCTGTACAGAGTCAGATGGTAAGTATTTTAGGCTTTGTGGGCCATACAGTTTCTTACCTTTGTAGCAAAAGTAGTCATAAACATCATTAAACCAATAGGCATGGCTATGTTCTAATGAAACTCTGTTTACAAAAACAGCCTGGTAGATTTGAATGTTCTACAAGTCATTATGATGTGAAGTAATCCCTAGTGATTATCACCTAGAGAGTCTACTTCTTTATTTATATGCATTTAGATATATCAAGTTATATAAATGTATTTAAGTACTTATATCATTTAGAATACATTTTCAAGTGACTGCAGTATTGACTCATTCAAAATATGGTAGGCACTGAGCAAAAGAAAGGATTTGTTTTCTTAGAAAATTCATACTTGGCCAAAAAGACCAAATAAAAATGTCCATTTTTTCCCCCTATTACAAATGGAGAAAATAAAAGTTTGTAGAAACAGTAACACAAAAACCAAGAATTTTTATAATCCCACCTGGGATCTTGGTATACCTCTTCTTTCTAAAATAATTTCAGTGTTTGCATATTACCACAAGCCATCAAAGGATAGGGGCTGACTTTTTTTCTCCCCATAAATGTTCCTCTTTCATCAATGTTATAAAATTCTATTTATTAACCTCAGCATTTTCTAAAGCTGGAGGTCTTCTGGTATCAAGCAAAAGGAATTATTTTCTATTTTACATACTGTCTTCCTTTATGATATGAAATCATGTAATACTTTCTCCCTATCCTCATTTTAAATGAAAACTGTTGAGGGAGTCTTCTGATTTTAATTAGCTCATATCCATCTAGTCACTGTCTATCAATGGAGAGCCACAGCCTTTTCTCTGTAAGGAACATACTTATCCTGAAAAACAGATGATAACTCAGTGTATCCAGGGCACATATGGAAAAGTAAACAATGCAGTGCAAATACAATTCTCAGGAAGGGTTTAGAATGTTTTTAAAATTGGGAACATCAGCTATTTTGAATTGAAAATAAATTGGTATAAACCTAAAAACTTATTTTAAAAGTTTCATTTAGTTTGTGTGATAGTGTCAAAAAATGAGTAATTCAAACTGACAATATGTCTAACTTATAGAAATAACACGCTTTGTTCATGGCTTATTTTTTCGAAGTTCAGATGGCAGGGAAGCTGAAAGAAGGTAGACTATTTCTTTATATTCACAGAAAATTTTACTTACCTTATAAACAGAACTGCCTCCCACTATCCAAACCATGTCTACTTTATTTGTTAATTCTGGATCTTCAATAAGTTCTAAGGCATCATCCAGACTTTTGGCAAGAAAATGAGCTCCCTTTGGAGGTTCCCTGAGATTAACAGAAAGAATTACACATAATATCTATAAACACCATTCATATTAGTAAAATAATATAACTAGGAAGCAGTAATTATAAAATAAAAATCATCATAAACATAAACCCTTTCAATAAAAAGCATTTAGCATCAGTATGGCCCATGGCCAATAATTCAACCCTTCTTTATGTACAGTCCACAATTAATCAAAACCAAAACCATCTGTGATATCACATATGTGTGGTAGAAAGATCAGAATGGTAGCTGAATGGGGTAAAGATTCACCAGTAAGGGACTCGAGGCAGCTTTCTGGGAGTGACAGTAACGTTCCTGATCTTTGATATGGGGTTATACAGGTGCATGTTGCTGTTGCTGAGTTGCTAACTCATGTCCGGCTCTTTGCAACTTCATGGACTGCAGCACACCAGGCTTCCCTGTCTTCCACCATCTCCCAGAGTTTGCTCAAACTCAGGTCCATTGAGTCAGTAATGCTATCTAACCATCTTATTCTCTGCTGCCCTCTTCTTTTGCCTTCAATCTTTCGCAGAATCAGAGGCATAGGTGCATACATTTGTTAAAATGTAGGAAATGTACACGTAAGACAAAAATGTACATTTTGTTGTATATAGTATTTATTTCAAAAGAAAAACAGTAAAGTAATATTAAACTCTAGTTTTCCAAGTTTATTTATGTTGTAGCATGTATCAGTAATTCATTCCTTTTATTGTGGAATACTATTCCATAGCATGGAAATAGCACATTTTGTTGATCCATTCATCAGTTGATGGACATTTGGGATATTTCCATTTTTTGGCTACTATGAATGATGTTGCTTTGAATATCTGTGTACAGGTTCTTATGCAATTATGTTTTCATTTCTCTTGGGTATATACCAAGGGGTGGGATTGCTGGGGCATATGATGATTCTATGTTTAATGTTTTGAGAAAATGCCCGTTTTCCAAACGTGGCTGCATAATATTTCTTTTAAAGCCACAACTGGATTGTCTAGAAAGCTTTGGAAAGGCATTTTTCCCTATACCTCATTAAGGAAACACTTACCCAAAATGACTAACATCTGGCAGCAAATTCCGGGGTTACCTTCAGGATTCAGTTTCTTTTTACACTGGGGGTGGCGGTGGTAAGAAACTGCATCTATCTAAAAGCTTACGTGAATTCAGAGATTTACCTGTGTGAATCTCCCCGCTTTTATTTAGGACCTAGCAGTGCCTGGCCCACAGCAGGTGCTCAGGATATATGTGGAACTGACCACAAGTAGGGAAGCAGAAGGAAGGACAAAAAATAACTCTAAAATTTTTCCCTAACTGGCATCCTTATTTCCTTGGTGTCCTTGGTAATAAAGATTTTAAAATTTCTCTCTGCCTTATTAAAAAAAAAAGTGAAAATACACCTACAGATGTTATATATAAATACATAAGAAAAAACCAAATCCAATTACATACACCACAGGGGGGTCACAAGGAAGAAATTGGAGATATGCTTCCCCAACTGAAAATCTCCCCCACTGAGATTTCTTTATGTTTGTTTTAGCTCAAGCTGGCCATAAATAAACTTAAGTAGTACTCAAGAATGTGTTATTAAAGAGTCTCTGGGAATGGCAATACAATCATTGAATCTGGATTCTACCAAGTAAAGAGATAATCAGAATATCCTAGCAACCAGGAGAGACCAGCATGAAGATTGGGGCAGATGGCAAGACGCATATCAACGTATTCCCCTATCCAAAGGCAACCAGTGCAAATATTCTGGTATACTTTCTTTCATGTTTTTAACCTATACAATTCTAGGAGGGATCTGGGAGAAAATCTACACAAGCCTGAATCCCCTTAGGCTATAGCTGTGCAGTGTTTTTCTCCTTTGGTCTTTGATATGTTCACTTGGCTAGGCTACAGCACTCAGTTATTTAGACAGCAATCTAGGTGCTGTCATGAAGGTATTTTGTAGATGTGATTAAAGCTGATAATTAGATGACTTTAATCTGGGTGGACCTAATTCAAGGGTTGAAAGGTCTTAAGAATAGACCTGAGGCTTCCCTGAAGAAATTTCACCAGTGGGCAGTAGCTTTAGTCCCTTCTAGCCTGTCCTTCCTGATGGTCTGCCCTAGAGGTATTTGGATTTGCCTGGCCAGCCCCCACAATGGTATAATTCCTTGCAATAAAATTCTTTTACCTATCTATCTGCTACTGGTCTGATGCTCTGGTTAAACCCTAATAATATACATGGGAAAGGAATATCATGACCCCTGTTCTTAAGCAAGCAGTACCCTAGGATACTGCATTCTTTTTCTGCTTAGATTATTAGGTTGAGAGAATAATTACCATGCCAGTTCCAAACTTCCTCTTATGGTATAATTCAGGTGCTCCCCTCCCCCCCCCAAATCCCTTGGAGTTCAGGCAGTTATCTTAGTGAGCTAGGACCAATGTAAACAGTAACAAAAAGAAACAAAATAGAAAGCACATGTGGAGTAAATGCATGGAGGCCTTGGTGCAGGACAAAGCACTGCAGCTGACTTGATGAACAGCCTTAATGCTATTATTACCTGAACCACTTCTTCCTCTTCACCCTGCCCAGTCCCCAAGGCATTTCCAGGCATCCAGATCGATGTCACCTCAGGTTAGATTGGTGAACAGAAAAATTCCTTGCACAGGTCAACTAAAGACACTCATGAGAACTCCTGGGAAGTGCTTCCATTTCAAAACTTTGAAATTTTTAACCTTCAGACATTGGGTAAAGAGCCTAAATACAAAATATTATTTGGGTGTTGTGGTAAACTAGAAATAACAGAGCACAAGATGACCAGTTTTTAGCTTATTCTAAAACTTGCATCTTAGTGTATTTAGGGATAGGTACTTCCCTGGTGGCGCAGACGGTAAAGTGTCTGCCTACAATGCGGGAGACCTGGGTTCAGTCCCTGGGTCAGGAAGATCTCCTGGAGAAGGAAATGGCAACCCACTCCAGTACACTTGCTTAGAAAATCCCATGGACGGAGGAGCCTGGTAGGCTACAGTCCACGGGGTCGCAAAGAGTCAGACACGACTGAGCGACTTCACTTTCACAGAGAAAGGATAACCTGACCACTTAATTTTGGCAAGTTCCAAAACATACGTATTTTGATTTTATGTGAAACTAGAATTTCTTAAGTTACATTATATAACTGATACTTAAGTTTACTGAATAATGGTTCAAGGAAACTTGCAAATCTATTATCATAGTTAGATTTAATGTAACTTGTCAAGTGATGAAATCAATCCCTTGAGTAACAGAATAAGTTACTGTCATGAGGCATAAATAACCGCTACTTCATTTTCTGTAATCACCTTTATGATATTAAGTAGTTTCATCCATAGTAACATTCATACTATTTCAGTCATATACTAAACCTCTACCATAAAAAATGGAACATGATTTTCTTGCGGTGAATTTATGTTATGGTACTTACTTGAGTTCTCTACTGAGAACTATATTAATTCTGTCCTTTAAAGGTCGATTCTTCTCTGGAATGGAGAACCAGGTCTTCCTACCCATAATCACCAAATTCTGTTTACCTTTAAAGTCACATGGAAAGAATAAATATATTTTGGGAGCATACATATATATTTTTATATACTTATACATATATGCATAGAAATGATGGTCACAGTGACACCTAGTGGTTCTGCTTTAAAAATTAAAATTTAAAACAGCTTTACCAAAATATATCATTTGTCATCCATTATCTAAGTCTAGTAATTACTATTTCCTTTGGCTTTAGCCAATTTATAACCAATATATAGCTTTAATCAACTGTAATCATGTATATTATAGTAGTTAAAAGCAAAGATACTGGGATGAAGTGCTAAAATTGAACGTATTCTGTCATCTACAAAGCAAGTCATGTTTATTTCCTGTGCCTTATTTTCCTTACCTATAAAATGGAGATAACAATAGTTCCTACTTGTAGAGTTGTTATGGGTATTTAAGACTTATTTGTTGTTATGGGTATTTAAGGGCTTCCCTGGTGGCTCAGATGGTAAAGCGTCTGCCTATAATGAGACCTGGGTTTGATCCCTGAGTTGGGGAGATCCCCTGGAGAGGGAAATGGCAACCCACTCCAGTACTCTTGCCTGGAAAATACTATGGACAGAGAAGCCTGGTAGGCTACAGTCCATGGTGTCGCAAAGAATCGGACATGACTGAGCGACTTCACTTTACTTCACTTCTGGTGGCTCAGCTGGTAAAGAATTCGCCTGCAATGTAGGAGACCTGGGTTCGATCCCTGGGTTGGGAAGATCCCCTGGAGAGGGGAATGGTACCCACTCCGGTATTCTCTGGCCTGGAGAATTCCATGGACTATATAGTCCATGGGGTCGCAAAGAATTGGACATGACTGAGCGACTTTCACATATATACATTATTTGTATACTTTATATATTTAAATTACAGTAATTTTTCTTAAAGATAGCTGCTTAATATTCCAAGCAATGAGTTTAAAACATTATCAATTGTGCCTCTATGCTTCTCTTTCAAGTATACTGCTTCTATAAAAACTTTACATATGTAGCTTCCATTTTTGTTTAATTACTTAGGAGGGAAAAACCTTGGGAGCTGAGTATCTGGATCAAAGGAACATATACATTTCTATGATTCTTGATATGTTCTGAGAGACTATCAAAGGAGTGCATGTATCTATTTTCTTAAAGAATCATCATTAGTTTGATTTTTTCAAAACAAAAACATGAAATTTACAAACTGCAAACTGAAAAAAATTTTATTTTCCTCCAAGAATAAACACCCCCCCAGCCCGTAATTCAGAGAACCCTTATATAATATGCACTATATTTTCAAAGACAAAACTTTATGTGTTCAATAAGGAGATTATCAACTATTAAAGAAAATGGAACCAACAGGTGAGGAATTCTGATGAGGAAAATGGCACAGACCCGATCTAACAACTAAGGTAGAAATGATAAATGAAGGACACAGGGAGACAGCCAAGACAGCCTTGGTACCCTTTCATTCATTCATCCAAGAAATACTATATTTACTGAAAACAAGCAAACAGGCATAGGATGATCTTCTTATTAGCAGGCCTTAGGATTCTTGAGAGTGTTCCTGTCAATCCTTTGCCTTAAAGCTCTTGCCATCTTGTCTCGACCAGTGATTCAAGGACCAAATCCAAGGACCTTTTATCCGAGCCGCTACAGCTATGCTGCATCTGCTCCTTTCTGATTTATGGTTCCCCTGTTTACTCTGCTACTGCTCCTCCAATGAACAAAGATACACTCCTCTTAGGTTTTAAATGGTCCTCTCCCTCATGCCCATGTTCTTTTCCCTGGTTATCCTCTTCTTGCCAGTGGCTCAATTCACCTCCTTCCCTGGGCCTGAAGTTGTCGGATATCCTACAAGCACTTCAAAATCATCATCATTAGAGCTGCTCACTATTTCCCATGTCACTCAGACTATCAAATTGGAAATCTGAGAGTTCATCCTTGCCTCACTGCACCACCTTCAACTTTCAGATCTCCAAATCGAGTATCTTGCAACCGTTTTTTGCCCTTCGTCCTCTCCATTGCCACTCAGACATTATCATTCTACAGCAGCAGCGATTTCAAAAGCCTCTTCCATTCTCCTTTGCGGGCGCTGACCTCCACAAAAGACTTTACCTAGCTTCCAACTTTGCCCAATACCTGAATTGTATGCGCCCACATAAAATTTCAAATAAACTTTTTTTTTAAGGAATGTTTAATAAGTGTTGGGAAATGTGTATACATCGATGTTAAGACAAAAGGTCCCAGACTAACATGAGAGACTTTTCACTTAAGTAAAATTTGCACTGGTAAGCTTCTTCAGGCAAGACCTTTCGCAAACTTGAAGCACATAAAAATGCCACATTACCTTCTATTGAAGAGACTGTAGTCATTCTTTGGAAATACCTGAATTCATTTCTACAAGTTAAGAAAAACACGCAGTTACTCAGAATGTGATCCCATGGGCTTAAGCTTTAAAGCCCCCAACAAAACGGGCGCTGGTTGCGGGGGTGGGGGAGGAACTTCCAGGGCTGGGATTTTGCTCCCGGGGGTAGGAGCCGGAAGTAAAGGTCTAGCCGGGCAGCTGGAGCGGGATATAAATCAACAACTTGCCGCCAGGCTCCGGACGCAGAAGGAAGCCGAAGCTTAGCTCTTGCCAGCTCAGGTCACGACCCCTTCTTCTCCCAGCGTCGGCCCGACCCGGCCCAGGTGTCCCGATCAAAGGCCGTTGGCGCCAGCTCTCTCCAACACTCTCGACCCACCCACCCCCCGGGGCTCAGCAGATACCTGAGTGGAGGCCAGGGCAGGTTCCCGTCCTTGCCGATGCCCATGTTCTGGGACACAGCGACGATGCAGTTTAGCAGACGAACCATGACAGCTTCAGGAAACACTTTCGAGCTAGCGCTGGACCCCGAACCCCGCTAGGTCAGCCACCTTGGCGCGAAATTTTGGTCGCCCCGCCCCTCCAGCCCTATTTGTGCAGGCGAGACCGCGCCCCCGCCCCGCCCCCCCGCCCCGGCGCACCGCGGGGTCACGACGTGCTCGCGCCTGCAGACGCCCCGGGAACTGCGGCCGCGGGCCCGCGCGCCCGGCTCGGCCCGGCTCTCGGGCTGTTGACTCCTGGCCTTACAATGTCGCGCCGGAAGCCGGCCTCCTCCAGCCCAGCGTCTGCAAGGCAGGCTGTTTTGAGCAGATTCTTCCAGTCTACGGGAAGCCTGAAATCCACCGCATCCCCAGCGGGTGCAGCCGAGAAGGCGGACCCTGACTGTGACTCCGCGGCGCCTCTAGCGTCCACGCTCCCGCCGCAATTGCAGCCACACGTGGTGGGTTCGGTCCAGGACAAGGCGGAGCCATCGGGGAAAGGGGGCGGGGCCAGCCGGGCGGAGGCAGCGTTTGTGGGTGGGGCGTGATGAGGCGGGGACTGTGCGCGAGAATCGGCGAGGTGACTGGGCCAGACGGGAAAGGGGCGGGGCCCAGGAAGGAGAAGGTAGGAAGAGGTAGGCCCACCTCTATCCTAGGTGCCCTTCTAACAGGGCTTCTCTTGTGGCTCAGCTGGTAAAGAATCTGCCTGCAATGCTGCATGGGTTCGATCCCTGGGTTGGGAAGATCCCCCGGAGAAGGGAAAGGCTACCCACTCCAGTATTCTGGCCTGGAGAATTACATGGAGAAGTTCATGGGGTCGCAAAGACTCGGACACCACTGAGCGACTTTCACTTCACACTCACACTTGAAGTGTTAGTTTTGAGGTTAGGGTCACACCAACTCTTAATGGCTGCCCTGAGACAGAAACTCAGGTCTCCTGACTACCATTCTGATGAGTAGGGTCAGAGGATACCTCTTTTAATCTCCATTCTACCTGCCCCCCCTCTTTTTTTTCTGAATTGAGGGTTCAAGAAGAGCCTTGTTCATTTGTATGTGTTTAGTTAGGTGACCGGATGAAAACTGGCGTTAAATCTCCAGTTTTTAGGGTTGCAACAGCCTTGCTCAATGTTTTGGGCGATTACCAGTAAAAGTCATGACTTAGGTGCCGTTCCCTGGTGACTGTACCTACCCCTTGTGGTTCAGATTATAAAGTCTGATACACGATTTGAGTGGATAAAGTTTCTTTAGACGATGCAGATATGCTAGTCGTTGGGACCTTTGCTTGCCATCCTTTGAATAAAATAGTTTTGTTTTGTTTTTGACCAGAAACACTGCCACAGAGGAAAGCCTAAGGGTGAGCCCTCACTGGGGCTCCCTGGTACAGCATTTGTCAAATTGAAAATGTGGCAGGGAGTTATAGATTGGCTTTTAAGTAACCCTCCAGGTTTTAAAGCAGGTGACAGCTTTGCTGCTTCAAAATTTTGTTCCCTTCATTTATATTTCTTCTATAGAGGATTGTTTCTCACCTGTCTTTGTTTTTTGACCATAGTCTACATTTCCATGAATTCACCAAGATTTTATTTTACGCCTACTGTTCAGAGGTCATTTGGTGAAGGACCTAAGTTTTTGACAGTTTTTCTGCCAGCATACAGTCCATAATCTTGTGGCATCTTCAGTAGTAAAACATAAGCCACATTTGAACATGAAACAGTTAAATTACAATTAACATTTCAAAAATGATACGGTTCTTTAATTGTCTAAATATTAGTTTTTTTCTCGAAGGTGTTCTATTTAACATAGGTAAATAGTGTGATTCATAATCTGAGATAGGGCAAGGCTGATTAAGTGAAGAAAAGTAGCACCTTGGTTCTAATTCTAGAACTGCTTGAGATGCCGAGGCTCATAACCTGACCTCCAGCTTATCTTTGATGATGGTAAAAACAGTTCACCCATAGCTCTAAGTAGACAATTCTATGAAGGGTGGATGGCAAGAACCTACTCTCATTCAGAAGTAAAGTTTAAATTATTTTGCGTACATCAAATTTTGAGATTGGAGATGACACATCCTTTTCTAACATAGGTTGCAAAAATTGACAGAAGTAAAAAGAGAGCGCTGGAGAATGATGGACCTGTTAAAAAGAAAGCAAGGAATGTCCAAGAAAAGGAAGAAGGAAGTGATTCTGTAATGTCTGGGAACTCTGGTGAGTTCTGGGGGAGTTTCTTCGTTCTCACAAGTCATGGCTCTGGTATTCTTGTGTTCTCCTGAGGGTAGAAGAGGCTATTGGAGAATTGGGCCATTTTTTTTCCTTTGGGGAGAAAGGCTTCCATAATGTTTGAGTAGACTGGCATCTTCTTAAGTGGTGGTGTGTGGGTAGAAGTTTGGAGAAATAGGGATAAAAGCTGGAGTTCTGCAATTTGGCTGTAGTTCTTTCAGTTTTCTCTCTTATTCCCTTTAGCAAATTTTGGTCTTGATTATAAAAGTAAAACATTCTTGTTATAAAATTTTCAAACAATTCAGAAACGTAAAAGGTAGACAATCAAAGACCTCATAGTCTTTCTTTCAGTAAGGCCTAGTGCTGATTTTTGGAGATGCTGTATATTCTTCCAGATTTTTCTACTTATGCACATCTGTATGTATAAACACATACCACAAATTAGTTAACTAATAATTTTTCATAAATTGTATTATACAATATATACTAACTTGTGACTTTTCCCCCCCCCTTAGAACATTTTGAACAATATTCAGTGTTAGGACGTGTAGATCTATCCTGTCCTTTTTAATCATGGAGCTGTTTCTTCTGTATGTGAAAAGATTTTGGGTAAAACCACCATTCCTGAGCTCCTGGATTCCTAGCGGAGGTATTGGATACAGATAGTTGAGCAAATTTTTCTTTAGTTAATTGGCCTCAGACAGTTTGTGATAGGAGAGGATAGAGAATGCTTCTTTCTTCATTATTCTCGTGAAATTAGGTAAAGAAAATGAAGTGAAGTGAAGTGAAGTGAAAGTCACTCAGTTGTGTCCGACTCTTTGTGACCCCATGGGCTATAGCCTGCCAGGCCCTTCTGTCCATGGAATTCTCCAGGCAAGAATACTGGAGTGGGATGCCATTGCCTTCTCCAGGGGATCTTCCCAACCCAGAGATCGAACCCAGGTCTCCCACATTGCCGGCAGATTCTAAACCATGAGTCACCAGGGACGCCCAAAGGAAATGAGTCAAAAGAAAAAAAGAAAAGTTTCAGTTTGGTGGATTAAGAAGTAAAATTTGAATTTGTGTATGAAATAACTGTAGAAATGGAGAGGCATGATTAAAGTGAAGGATAGGTCTGATGATACTCTTTTCCTCCTCCGACCTGAATGGGCTGTGACTGGAGGCATGACTTAGAGTTTGCATTTTCCAGGGCTGTCTTTTCTTTGCTTTGTTACTTTGCATAGACCTGATCTACTTAGTTTTTCAGTAAAGTCTTCAAGCTGTTAATGAACAGCATCTGTTTGCCTGCCGTTGTTCTGGAGGCCTTTTGTAGTTATTTTATTCTTCCCAACAACCCTTCTTATTCTCCTTTTATAGAAGAAGAGATGGGTGATATGTGAGGTATGAGGGTTACCACACTTCAGTGACTTACCCTGGCACCCAGGAGAGATGAGGTAGAAATGGGGCATCAGACTTGGAATGTTATGATATAAAACCTTTGTTACTTGGTAAACATTGCTCTCAGGAAGAAGAAAGAGTTTTCACCAGTCAAAAGCTGGGTGATTACTCCACCTAATTTTTTTTTTAAATATCAGAATTATTAAGATATAATTGCAGGTTATACAGTTTACCTATTTAGCATGTACAGTTTAATGGCTTTTAGTATATGCGCAGAATTGTGCAGCCCTCATTAAAGTCAATTTTAGAACATTTTCATCACCCTCAAAGGAAACTCAGTACCTGTTAGCAGTCATTTCCCATTTTCCCACAACAGCACCCCTTCAGGCCTAAGTTAAGCACGAATCTATTTTTTGTCTATAGATTTGCCTATTCTGAACATTTCATATAAATAGAATCATAGAGTATGTGACCTTTTTGTATGTTGTACCCCTTTCAAAAGTTTTTTGATTTAATTTCTTGCTGTTCATTTTCTTGTGATTTAATTTTATGTTATTTCATAACAGATAATTTGTTTAAATTTTAACCAAAACTTTTATTTTATATGGTGAAATTTATATCTTAGCCATTTTAAAGTGTACAGTTCAGTGGTATATACATGTCTGGCTACCTTTAATAAATAAAATCTCCCCAAATTCAGACTTACTTTTTGTTATTAATATTATTTTAATTACAGATAAACATAGTGTAGAACTCTATCTTAAAAGCATTTTGAAAAATACAGATACCCATTATCTTAATACTATATGAATTTGGACTTTACAAAATCAATTAAGGATAAAATAAAATATAACTAGAGTATATAAAAATAATGTACAATTAAAAAAAGACCTGGAAAATGTGTCATATATTATGCCTTTAAACGGTACCCAGAAAGCTTTAATTGAAATTTGCTTCATATTCATGTAATTGCCAGGTTATCCTTGAACCATTTTATAAAAGACATCAACCAGTATTTATAATTATTACACACTAATATCCTAAAGTTAAAGCTACTTAATCAAAAAAAATTTTTAAGTAACATGTTTTAAATCAAAGCATAATTGATTTACAGTGTTGTGCTAGATTTTGGTGTACAGCAAAGTGATTCAGTTATTTATATATGTATATGCTTATATATATTTCAGATTTCTTTCCCTTATAGGTTATTATATAATATTGAGTATAGTTGCCTTGCTATACAGTAGGTCCTTGTTATTTATCTATTTTATTTATCTATCTCTCTCTATATATACATATATAGTAGTTTATATCTGCTAATCCTAGACTCCTGATTTATCCACCCCACCTCTCCTTTGGTAACCATAAGTTTATATCTATGTCTGTGAGTCTTGTTTCTTTTTTTGTAAATAAATTCATTTGTATCATATTTTAGATCCCACATGTAAGTGATATCATATGATATGTGTCTTTTTCTGGCTTTCTTCATCAGTATGATAATCAAACTCCACCCATGTTGCTGCTAATGGCATTCTTTCTTTTTTTTTTTTTTATGGCTTAGGATAAAGCTACTTAGCTTTAATGAAAAAAATCAAATTTGTCCATGGAATTAAATATACCATTCCCCAAATTCCCATTTTTGTATTCTATAATGACTATACTTATAGAAGGTAAAAAATTTTGTCCAATGAACTTTCCATTTTTATTTTATACTATTAAAAAAGAAATCACCTTTAGAAGTTTAAAACAACATGCCTCAGTTTGGAATGAATATTTAAAACAAAGGCACTGAGATTAAAAAATAAGTTTTTTAAATTAAGAGAAAGTTCTGCTGCTTACCTGGGTTTCTACTGTTAGACAAGATTTGAAACTGGCTCTTAAATTTGTTTGTTTTTCTTTTTAAGACCTTATCCTACTTGTATATTATTTTTTATCTGCCTAAGTTTAAATATCTTATTTTCAGCTTAAACACTCAAACATTGGCTGTAGGTTGTCTTTCCAGATGATTCTGACACCTTGGGATCTATGAACATGGATTTGTTGTTGTTTTTAATTCCTCATAGATGTTTAAGATATGTAGAGAATTATAAGCTTGATAAATTTCACAAACTGAAGTCACCTCTGTAACTATCTCTTAGATCAAGAAACTGTATTACTAGGACTCCCAGAAATCTGTGCTCCCTCCCATTGCAACCCCTTCCCCCGACCCAGGATAACTGTTATCCTGACTTCAGTGTAGATTGGTTTTGCCTGAACATTGTGTTTAATTTAACCAACGTAAAATATGTTTGTAATATTACAAAGGTTTTTCTTTTTTTCCTTTTTTTAAGATGATGAACTATTTTATCTGTAAAACAGGTTCTTGTACAGATTTTTAAAAATATATTTATAATGGCGTATTTATATTTTAGCATCTACTCTATGCTTCCTTCTAGATTAAAATTCTTCATTTAAAATATGATAATTCTCCTTCCTCCTTGATCATTCATAACCTAAGTGTAGAGGAGTGGTCTTGAGGAAAGTACCTATTATGTATTTCCATTTTATGGCACACAAAATTTAAAGCTCAAACAGTGAAAGTGTTCATTTCAGTGAAAGATTTTTAGTAAGGAATTTTTGGTCTATTTAACGTCTTGGGACAGCAACCAGTGGCCTTATTTCTAGGGTATATCCTCTTAAGGGCTCAGAGACTAGTGATAATGCTGCTAAGTCTTAATCTCATATTGTGCCAGTTTGATGGCTCATTTCATGGCATCTTCAGAAAATGAGATAGTATAAGTGAAGTTTTAAATATAGGAGCAGAATATAAAGGTTGCTAAGGTTTGTTTGGGTACTGTTAACTTAAAACAGTAAAAACAACCCAATTATTTTACCAGCAAAATGGCTTTATCTGGGGGCAGCAGAGAATACAGGACATGCAGCTATAGCAAATAGCATGCAAGTCTGCCAAGGCAAAGGAGAGAAAATTCTTTATAAAGGAGAAGGGGAAGTTGGGAGGGTTTGTTATAAACAGAAATTTGACTAGAGGAAATTGGGAGTTCAGAATATAGAGGGTTTTCTTCGGCTGAGTTGTGACAGTCTCTCATTGGTTGAACCGTTGTCAGGCTAGGAGAAAATCTTCCTCCTTCTGGTAGTAGTAAAGTTGATCACTCCGGTAGGAGATGCAAGGTAAGTCTCTTCCTGTTGGGATCTGTATTGACACTGTGTGTGCAGGAGAGCTCCCCCTGCTGGCCTCCCAATTCCATTTTCCTTTTAATTTTCATAGTACACTGTACTCACCTGCAATGTGGGAGACCTGGGTTTGATCCCTGTGTTGGACGGCTACCCACTCCAGTGTTCTGGCCCGGAGAATCCCATGGACTATACAGTCGCAAAGAGTTGGACATGACTGAGTGACTTTCACACACACCCTGTACTCAGGGGCTTCCTTGGTGGCTCAGGTGGTGTAGAATCCGCTTGTCAGTGCAGGAGACACACAGATGTGGGTTTGATGGCTGGGTCCAGAAGAGCCTCTGGGGAAGGGAATGGCAACCCACTCCCATATTCTTGCCTGGAGAATGCCATGGACATAGGAGTCGAGCAGGCTACACTCCATAGGGTTGAAGGAGTCGGACACGACTAAGTGTGCACACACACAGTGAACTCGGTTTTTGACCGTCAGGTTTTTCACGGTGGTTACAGTCTTCCTCAAGCCTAAGGGAGGAACTGGGGCCTCTTCCTATGTCTCCTCTGAGGCATAAGGGTTTTATAGCTCTTGGGGGCTTTTTATTTGAGAGGGCTTCCATTTAGTTTTTTCCCTTGAGGGCCTTCAGTTCAGTTCCGTCGCTCAGTCGTGTCCGACTCTTTGCGACCCCATGAATCGCAGCACGCCAGGCCTCCCTGTCCATCACCAACTCCCAGAGTTTACTCAAACTCAGGTCCATCGAGTCGATGATGCCATCCAGCCATCTCATCCTCTGTCGTCCTCTTCTCCTTCTGCCCTCAATCCCTCCCAGCATCAGGGTCTTTTCCAATGAGTCAACTCTTCGCATGAGGTGGCCAAAGTATTGGAATTTCAGCTTCAGCATCAGTCCTTCCTTAGAAGGTGTAAATATCTCTCTTAGATGTCTGTGAGAAAGGCAATGAAAGATTTTGGCTTTCCCCTGTAAGATTCTTTCTTCCCACAGATAAACATGTTCATATTTCCTCCTGGTTTTCTTTTAAATGGCTCAAGATATGATGTCCCTAGGAGCATTAGGAAAAAATTGTAACTTTGCATCATTTCTTATGTACCAGTTCTTTCCCTTATTTTATAGTTCAGGAATCATAATGGCTTGATATGACTGAATAAGGGTGGGATGTCTTCTTTCCTGTCTCTTGAGCTGAGATGCACCCATAAAAGACATTCTAGCTTAAGGATGAAAGATGGCTACACAGAAAAAGGAAAGAACAAATTTTAAGAGATGTGGAAGGGTGGCAGAGAGGTTATATAGAAAAACCGGTTCAATCCAGGATCATATCTGAACCAATATAAGCCTTTCTGAGTTGAGCATAACTCAGGGATGGAGCTTCATGAGGGAATCTTCTTGCCATGGTGAGAGTGCGGTAGGGGGCTGGGGAAGGATGTAAGGAAGAGAAAATGGGAAAGTCAGCCATCAAGGAGTCTGACCACATGCGTGCTAAGGCCTTGCTCTAGATCCAGCCAAACAGACGCTGAAGTTTGTGGAAATAAGGCCATAAGCATGGAATTTTTGAAATGTGAACTTTATTTAAAACATAAATCGTGTGAAGAACAGAACAGAATATTCAGTAGTCAGAAGAGTCCCTGGCTACTTCACCTCAGTTTTTAACACTTCAGTTTCAGATACTACTTTTTTACATAAGTACAACTCTAAGACTTATACCCCACCCCCACCCTGGGAAAGTTTTTTTTGTATAGATAGGAGAAAAGTTCTTATATAATATAAAAACTTACAGTATATTTTTGAAGAGTGATTCAAGTATACATCCTGAAAAGGGGAGAGTAATAGTAAATAAGATGAATATACACATTTGAAAGAAATTTCAAATATATATTTTTCTAGCTATAAGGTTAACAGGAGACAGGGTGAAGTATATACCTAAAAAGTTTTGATATGAATATGAGATGATTTAAACTTTCAGAAATGAGTAAAGCACATCTCTTGTCCTCAGTGTTTTGCTTTAACGGGAAAGGTTAAGAGATGATAAATGCAGTCCCATTTCTTGATATTTAAAAGTAAACTGCCTAATTTTATTGCTCTTAGGGGCAAAAAAATGTATTCTGGCTTGTATTATTATAAATACCCAATATGTGATAATGTCCCTTATTTTATGGATTGCTTGCTTCTTAATAACAGCTAATTGGCAGAGTGTGGTACGGGCTGTAGAAAGATGTGATTTTGTTATTTTAACATAGAGGAAGGAAAACATGACTCTTAACTGGGAGAATTAGCAGAGTTTCATGGGAAAAGTAGTTTTGAGATGGGTCTTGATGAAATGAGTCCAATTTGACATGTGGAATTTGGGGTCCTGGACATTTCAGGGAGAAAGAATGGCATGAACAAAGCTATGGAGGCAGGAAGGCAGGTGTCCTGGGGGTAGGGTTTCGGGTTTCCCTGGTGAATTCCTGGTTTCAGGATCTTTAGGACTTTCCTAAAGTCAGAGTCTTCTGTGCTCCTGCCTGGAGGGAGAGCTTTGGCTCCCAGTGTTCTGAGAGCTGGTGAGAAGAGGCTGGATTCTGGGCATCCAGTAAACCTATACCCATTATTCTTATGACGAAGGCACAGTACTGCATCTCACCTGTGCCCCTTTTGCCTTTTCCAGAGAAATTGCCAGTCGTCTTCTGAGGGAGGTGGAGGACAGCTATCTTTGAGCTTGGAGGGGCTAGGGTTCTAAGGATTTAATTGTTTTGAACCAGTCCTATTTATTTGATTTTACTTTATTTACTTGTTAAACTATTTTATATGGGAGTATGACTGGTTAACAATGTTGTGATAGTTTTAGGTGAACAGTGAATTGACTCAGCTATACATGTACATCTATCCATTCTCCCCCAAACTCCCTTCCCATTCACCGTCCTCTTTGTTTTAGAACCTCCCATTTTTCCATTTCCAGAGCTACCCTTGCAGTGATTCTTGACCCTTTCATTTTGTGTTGTAAATAGGATTGGTTCTTGGTTTTGTATATAACTGACTTAGGATTTAACTCTCAGGTATACTAAATTGGTTATTGCTCATCCATTTTTCCTTCTAGTTTGAGATATTTTGTTGCAGTTGTCATCTCTTCTTCTCTCTGCTGTATTGTAGTTTTTAATAAGGTTCAGGATGAAGTGAAATTAGATGTGTGTTTCATTATGCAATCTTCAACCTGAGCCCAAGATTTCTTTATTTCTTTATCACATTATAGTTAGATTCATTGCCTTAACTGAGAAGATCCTTCTGTAAAAATCCTATACTGAGTATGAATTGACATAATGAGACAAAATACTATTGTTATGTTTTCGTCTGATTTTCTAAGAGCCCAAGAAACACCTGAGGACCAGGACTGTTTTAAAGTCTCTGGAAAAACTGAAAGAATTCTGCTGCGATTCTGCCCTTCCTCAAAATAGAGTCCAGACAGAACCTCTTCAGAAGAAGTTTGCAGTTCTGCCAAAATGTACTGATTTTGAGGATATTGATCTTCTACGTGCAAAGAATGCAGTTTCTTCTGAAGATTCCAAATCCCAAACTAGCCAAAAGGTATGTGACTCTTGTATGGATGGATATCCACTTAACTTAGAATGGTAGGTTCTCAAGTACCATTAGGTTCTGTGGGTTCACCCAGGATATAGGTTCCCAAACCTGGCTGATCATCCAAATTAGCTGAGGGAGCTTCTGCCTCTTAGATTTTTTTTTTTTAAATTCCTGGAGATTCTGATTTACTTTTATGGTGGGATAGATTGGTTTTATTAAAACAACACAGAATAAAACCTCCCAGCTGATTCTGATATACAGCCTAGGTTAGGAGTCACTAATTTGGGGGTAATTCTTTATTAATAATTAATAGAAGCACAGTTTCTTATAGTCCTTCTTATAGTTTCCATGATTAGTCTAGAAAATCATGGTAAATAATTTATAGAGATGTTTTGAGGTTTTCAGTTGAAAGCTTGGCTGATACAATAAATAGAAAAGTTAGCTAAATACATATGGGTTCCTTACTTCTTCTACTGTCTTGTGACTATTAGTGTTTTTCACCATTGCAAAATCAGGGAATTTAATTCTTGATCCATTGTTGAAATCTATAATTCAGAATTAGTGGTGAAGCCCAGCTTTAAATAAGATCACCTTACTGTAATAATTTTGTATAGTGACAATTGATTATGGTACTTGTGATCATTTCATAATGTATTTGATTGTCAGATCACCATGTTTCACACCTGAAACTAACATGGTATTGTCTGTCAGCTATATGTCAGTTAAAAAAAAAGAATCACCCGGAGAACAGAACTTTCAAAAAAAAAATCATCAGAACCCTTTCTCAGAATCATGTTTAGTGTTCATGAAAAACTGAACTTGGGTATCATTTAAAAGCTCTCATTTTAATATGTAGCCATGGTTGAGAACTACTGAATTAAAGAAATAGTCCTTTACTTTTTTTTTTTTTTGAGTCATTTAAATCTAATCAAACTATGGACTCTTTACTCAGAAGAATACTCAGACCAACACAATTTTGTATGTGATTTTCAGAAGTTCACACTCCTTTCTGCAAAGTCCAGATTCATGAACTGGCTGGAAAAAAAACATATAGTATATGACATTTTTTTATTTTAGGCTTTCAAAATTTGCTTAAGATATTAAGTAGTAGTTCAGTTTGACTCAATTTTTTAAAGTCATTTACTTGAAAGAATTCCAAATGTGCAAGAAAATTTGCCTAAATGTACAATACACTCCTGTAAACCTTTCACCTGGATTCACCAATTATTAGCTTTGTGCCAAATTTACATTCTCTCTTAAACTATTATTATGGTTAATACTTTTTAAACTATAAAAATCTTTCGGTTGCCAGGACAAGACATCACAAAGGAGTTATGAAAACCTACAGAAAACATCTGATTCTAAACCATCTAATAAACGGACTAAAAGCATCTACACACCCTTAGAATTACAATACTTAGAAATGAAGCAGCAGCAGAAAGATGCAATTTTGTGTGTCGAATGTGGATATAAGTATAGATTCTTTGGGGAAGATGCAGAGGTAAGTTGTTTTCTTAGGCATTATTTCATGATTTTCTTGTCCAGCCTTAAATATTTTCCAGTGTTTTCGTTTCGCTTTCTGACCTGATGAAAAAGCTAATGTAATCAGTTGCCTTTTAAATATGCTTTCATTTAAGAAAAGTGAAAGTTACTCAGTCGTGTCCAGCTTTTTGTGATCCCATGGACTATAGAGTCAATGGAATTCTCCAGGCCAGAATACTGGAGTGGGTAGCTGTTGCCTTCTCTAGGGGATCTTCCCAACCCAGGGATCGGACCCAGGTCTGCCACATTGCAGGCGGATTCTTTACCAGCTGGGCCTCCAGGGAGGCCCAAGAATACTGGCGTGGATAGCCTATCCCTTCTCCAGAGGATCTTCCTGACCCAGGAATCGAACTGGGGTCTCCTGCATTGCAGGTAGATTCTTTACCCCTGAGCCACCAGGGAAGCCCCATTTAAAGCTTTCTTTTAAAGTAAACACTGCATATAAACAGAAGCAAAGTTGGTGGATGCTAAATTTGTGGAGAAGAAAGTGAGTGGTTCTGATTGGAATGTTCATAATTATTCTCCATGCTGCTTACTTAGTGTCTTTCATCTGTCAAAAGTTAATTGTGGATGAACCAAATAGTTAATGAATCATAATCATGTGAATATTCCTAATGAAGACTCACACCAAAAAAAAATTGAGATGTATGATATTCCTCTCTTTACCTTTACTTTATGAGTTTTCTTAGATGAGCACATTAACTCTGCTGGCCTACCGACAGGTGTGTGAAGTCCTACAGGTCTTTGTATATCAGTCATTTTGCTGTCTTAGTCTAAGTTCGGTTGCTCTTTGTTGAGATGCACAAGCTTCTCATTGCAGTGGCTTCTCTTGCGTAGCACGGGCTCTAGGCAAGCAGGCTTCAGTAGTTGGAGCATGTGGGCTCAGTAGTTCTGACCTCTAGGCCCTAGAGCACAAGCTCAGTAGTTGTGGTGCCTGGGCATAGCTGCCCCATGGCATGTGGAATCTTCCCAGACCAGGGATCAAACCCAGGTCCCCTGCTTTGGCAGGAGGACCCTCAACCACTGGACCACCAGGGAAGTCTGCCATGATGCTTCGTAGAAAAAAGTAGGGAATCAGGTGGTGCTACAGGATTCCACATTCCTATCACTTGCGTGCCATTGATTAGCCAACCAGACCATGGGGTTTTCTTTTCACTTCCTCAAAGATGCCCTCTGTCCAGGGAGGTTTATCATTTATGTACACTGTGTCATATCTCCTAATTTTCAGTTATTTGCACATGCTAAGTAGCAAATTCTTATTGCATTATACCCTTATACTGTTTTGCACAGGGAAAGTTCAGCACTTTAAGGTTTTGGTACATCTAAGGACGTAAAAGAAAACATGTCATATTTTTCCAAGTTGTTTATAGATATAGATGTTGGCCTTGAGGCCATGGACACTGTTGAAAAAAGATGAAACCATAGGCTTCTGCACAGGGAATGTCTTTTAAATGTTTTATTGACATACCACTTGGAGAAGTGCACAAATCCTAGATTTATACCTGGATGGATTTTTAACAAAGTGGACAAACACCACACAGGGAATCTTGAAATAGAAACTTACTGATATTTTCTTTAAAAATTTTTTTTAGATTGCCGCCCGGGAGCTCAATATCTATTGCCATTTAGATCACAACTTTATGACAGCAAGCATACCTACTCACCGACTGTTCGTTCACGTACGCCGCCTTGTGGCCAAAGGATATAAGGTCCGCTTTGGCTTCAATTTGTGGGAAAAGGGGGTTGGAGTCTCTTCTGGAGAGGGAGGCATTTCTAAGGTGGGAGGCTGTAATTGGTTTTGGAATTGGGCATTTTGGAGAAATTAAAGTTTGTCATAATTATTAGCACTTTATCTTCATGAGTTTTTAACATATTAGATATTTAGGGTAAAAAAAATTTTCAACCGTGTGTTGGAGTGTTTCTTAGTGATTTATCCACACTTGCAAGGTCCTTGTATTACTTACTACTTAAACCTAAGTCCTACATCTGGACATTGTGGACTAGTTTGTTTATTTTAAATGTTTCAAAATTAAACTTCTAAACTAGAAATAATGTCATCTTAACAAGTTTTCCATCATATTTAACATGCAGTGTTTATTACTTTTGTTGAAGGTGGGAGTTGTGAAGCAAACTGAAACAGCTGCTTTAAAGGCTATTGGGGACAACAAAAGTTCACTCTTTTCCCGGAAACTGACTGCTCTTTATACAAAATCTACACTTATTGGAGAAGATATCCTTTTTGAGTAGGAATTTTTTTCTTAAATGTTACAAGGTGTTTGTTTTAAATAACATTTTTAAAAACTGTTCTTTGATTGGGTACTTTTTTAAAAAATAAACTTTGTATTTTGTATTGGGATGTAGCTGATTAGCAGTGTTGTGGTAGTTTCAGGTGAACAGCCAAGGGACTTAGCCATGTATATACATGTGTCTGTTCTCCCCCAAACTCCCCTCCCATCCAGGCTGCCACATAACACTGAGCTGAGTTCCAGGGGCCCGATACCACAGGTCCTCATTGGTTATCCATTTTAGATATAGCAGTCTGTACATGTCCATTCCAAACTGTGATTGGGTACCTTTTTGATGAGATGAGGCAGTATGGTTACTTGGACCTCTAATTAGTGTGATAACTGAAGAGAGAAGGGTTGGCTTTGGCTAGAAAGAGGCATTTTTTCAAATGCCACAGTTAAAGAAGAGGTCATCATATTTTAAGAGAAAGAAAGAGAGCATGGTGAATGATGACCGCAAGTCAGCAACTGATGTGAAATTACATCTTCCCACGGCCTGTGTTGTCAGTGGTTGGCTGCTTAGGCTTACAAAGTCCTGTACATCTTCCTAAGTGAGACCTACAAAATAGCGTACTAACGTCACGGTGTGAAAACTACAAAGTTAACACACAGTTGACTGCTTATAAAAGATAATAGTGGTCATCTTCATTAACTGTTAGTGTCGTAAGAATTGTACTACTTTTGAAAATAGATTGTAAGCTTTCTCACTTTGTAAGAATCTTCAGTCTATACAGTGACTGCTCCCCAGTTTTTGGTCATTTATCAGTTCAATGAGTTACTTGAAGCCAAATCATTTTAACAGCAGAGTCATAAAATTTTGTCAACTTAAAAAACTGAATAATTACATATAAAATATGATAAGGAAGCACTTTGTTTACTGTGGGATGGGGTCAGGTCTCTCAGAATAAAAGAATGTAGAGATAAAGTCTTAAATGACTGTGTGACAGTAGTATTTCTGTTATTTTTATTACAGATCTGCTTATTTAGAGTCCTATGGAGCTTCTACCCACACCCTGAAAGCTGTTTTTTTCTGTTAATACCATGAATAGGGAACAGTTTTACACTCAGAATGAACCCCAAACTATTAACAGCTCTGTATTGTTCTAAGCTGATCAGGCTGTAAGAACTTGGTAATTCTGTTGTTTCTTTTGCCCAAACTTGAATCTTTTTTTAAAGCCTGCTTCTAAAACAGCACCCCTTCCCGCTTCTCTTTTACTCTCTTATCAGCTGATGCCCAAAGTGAATGTTCCCAGACTGACTATGTCCAAAAACAGTTTACATCCCTGAGAATTTATTTAATAGACTTATTATGCACATGCGTGCACACACACACACACACACACACGCACACGCACATATGTTTCTATTTTCTTTTTTGGTTTTCTCACGTTTTTAAAAAAATTCTCTTGCTATGTCTGAGAGGTGTTAGGCACTTTAGCAAGGGGAAGTGATTTACACTATTTTAGTGTACTCATGCTGTGACTTGGGGAATTAAGCTTTATGGGATTGCTAAGGATTCAAGGATTATGTTTGGGCTTCCATAGGATTTGAGGTATATTCCAGGCCTTTTGGAAGTGAGAGGATAATAGTTGTCTGTTCTAATGAATCTTATATCTTAGGGAAGATATGGCATTGTAACTATGATCAGTGTAAATCAGAAGAATGAATGCTGTATGGAAGATTTTGTATAGAGCAAAAATGTCCAGGAAAATTAACTATTATTATAAGGAGGAAAAGCTCATGGGACTGTAGCATTTGTTTTTCCTTAATAATTTTTACATGTGAATCCTTTAGTCAAGCTGGATGATGCTGTAAATGTCGATGAGGTAATGACTGATACTTCTACCAGCTATCTTCTGTGTATCTGTGAAAACAAAGAAAACGTTAAAGACAAAAAAAAGGGGAGCGTTTCCATTGGAGTTGTGGTAAGTACTTTGTAGGTGAAGAACAAATGATATGTTCATGGTATCTTTAAATATGAGAAATCATGTATGGTTTATAATGAGGCTATTTGATGGGTTGTGTCTTCAAGTAATTGTACTAGAAAAACATTTCCCTCCTAATTTTATGTGTTAAAATATAAATCTTACATGATTGTTTGGCACTCTGTGTTTTGGAGGGATCCAAGAAGTTTTCTATGTGCTCTAGTAGTTTAGGGTTGAAGGTAGACACAGTGACAGGCATGTATGCAAACAGTGTTCAGATAGCAGAATAAAACATTTAAGTCAACACATGCATGGATAACAAAGGGTTTTACAAATTTCCTCTAGATTTGAAGTTAAAGGCAAACAATTATGGGTTTGTCATATCTAGTTTTAGAGGAAAGAGTAGTTAAGGGTTATAACTGGCCAATTCAAAACTCCATTTTTAATGTATGGCAAAAACCACTACAATATTGTAAAGTAATTAGCCTCCAACTAATAAAAATAAATGGAAAAAAAAATAAACATTAGGAATATTTATAACCAGTCTTCCAGGTGAGTATAGTTTGTGAATTGTAGTTTTATTGATCTTGCCTTCTGGCAGTTTGTGAGCAGATTTGCCCATTTAGAGACCTATTTGGACTCTGCTTAAAATCTTAGACTTAAGGGCCTCTTGGAACTACTATTAGACTCCATTGTTCTGTTAAGCAGAAGCAGGACTCCTTGCCTAAGTAGTAACCCATTCTCTTTATATTTTTAAACTTTAGCAACCAGCTACAATGTTAGTAAAAATTCTTACAGCCCAAATGTCTCCAAAATACCTTTTGATACCTCATTTTGACTGCATAACTTGTAAAAATTCTTACAGCCCAAATGTCTCCAAAATACCTTTTGATACCTCATTTTGACTGCATAACTTGGTACTAACTTTGATGTTTGCTTAAAAGTAAGCCATTCTCTCTGGGAGTTAGTGTTACTATTGGGGACTCTAAATGATTGTATTTTTTTTATCCTTGAGAAGCACTTTTTATCTAGCTGCAGGCAGTTGAACCTATCTACAAATAGTAAAGTTATTTGCTTTTTAGTTTTAACAGATGTAATGTGCTATTTTATATTTACCTGGAACTCAGTCTAAGGAGCAGAGCTGATTGTATATACAACTCCTATTTCATGCTTTTAGAAATACTCTTTGGCATCTTGCCAAAGTGAACATAGTGTATGAACTGACATGTGAGAAATGAGAATCGATAGTTTCCATCTCAGTCATTTTCTTGGGACTTACTCTTTTTATTTATTTATTTATTTTTAGCTTTGTATTCTACGTTGGGGTATAGCTGTGTTGTGATCATTTCGGGTGAACAGTAGAGAGCCTCAGCCCTGCATGTACACATCCACATGTCCATCCTCTCTCAAATTCCCCTCCCATCCAGGCTGCCAGAAACCACTGAGCAGTGTTCCATGTCCAGCTCTCCACTGGACAAGGCCCTCCAATTCAGTGTGGCTAAAACAGATCTCGTCTCCCTGAACCCCGCTCTTGCTGGGTGTTTCCCTGTTGTGATGAGTGTCGCTTGCTCCCCAGTCACTACCTAGGAGTCATCCTTTGGATACTGCGAGTTAGTCTGGAATCAAAGGCTTTACTGTTGTGGCGCCAATGCAGCCAGACCCTCTGTCTGCAGATGGCCTGTGGGCTTCTCAGTGTCACATTTCACACGGAGTAGTAGATGTTGCAGGTTTTGTGATATAGTCCATTTCTCTGGTTAAAAAAACAAAGAGGAATTTGGCCAATACATTTATTACTTGAACTTCTGTAAATAGCTTTTATACAAGTTTGGTTGTAGATTGGGAGATAAACCCAGTTGTAGATTGCGTTGTAGATTGGGAATAGTTACAGTTCAGTTATCTGGTCACTAGAGAAGGCCTATGGGCTAGAATTAAGGAACTTCTTGAGCCGAGAATGAGTGATTAAAAAAAAAAGTCAAGAAAAAAATGCATAAATCAAAAATTACCAGTGTAATGTGAGATAGCCCCTCAGGTTAGAAACTATAAACATCATTCACAGAAGGGCCCCTTGCCTCCAGAGATAACCATAATCCAGACTTTAAGATAACAATTCCCTCCCTTTTTGATCCAATTTTACCACCTTAAGCAGTATATTAATATAAACATGTTGTGTTTACTCCTTTTGGATCTTGCTTCTTTGTTTACTGTTTTGTACATGAGGTTTATTTGCATGTGTTACTTTAGTAGTTCTTTTGTTGCATTGCCACATTGTATTTCATTTTACAGTTTATTCATTCTTCCATTAAGGGACAAGTGGATTCGTCCCAGTTTTTGCTTATACAGAGTATGCACTGTGGACATTTTTGTGTTAATACGTGGCTTCTGATATGCATGTGCCTGAGTTTCTTAACTCAGGGGAGAAATTGCTGAGTTACGGGATATTTTTACAGGATGCTTTCAACTTTCCTAGAAAATGCCAGACTGTTTTTCGAAGAGGCTGTGTCAGTTGACTTTGCACCAGCCGTGTTTGAGTGTAGGGAATGTTATTTTTCCTCCTGTTTGCTCACAGTCTGTAACTGGCCCCAGGCCTTTCTTAATTATCAGTAATGAATAGGAGTGTGACTTGTGGAGCCAGACTATGTGACTCTTGCCTCCACCGCTATATCGCCTCTTGACCTATGAGTAAATGACTTAATTTTTTTCTACTTTTCCGAACTGTGATCTTTTCCAGGTTTTCTTTGCTATTACTGGCTTGGGGTGATGCAAGTGGCTCTCAGTTCTCATGGTTATTTCCCTGGATAGACTGTGCCCATGGGCTTTAGTCAGATTTCATTATATTTGATTTTGTTTTTGGCAAAAAAATATACTTTTTATTTACATTATATAACAAAATAGTAACTCATTCCTCCTCTGGTGGCCAGGGTACTAGGAGCATATCACTTATTACTTTTAGCAATAATAACAACTATATGTACAGCACTTTACAGCTTACAAAGTGTTCATTTGTTTTCTGATTTGACCCTCACAGTAACTTTGTGAGGGAAGTAACCTGGTTCCCACTTACAGAGGAGGACCCTGAGACTCAGGAGGGTTTGGTGACTATTCATATTCACTTCATCCTGTGTTTTATATCCAGGATTTGGCTGGACTCAGGATGTCTATAGTCCCAGCTAGCATAGTTTAAATATTGGTGAATCTGATTTCTTATGTAAGAGTCTTAGAAAGCAGACAGGTTTTCAAACACTTTAGAAATTCAAGTACATACTCATGAGTGTCGTCTTTACTATTTCCATGTTTATTAATGCTGTGCCATAGTTACAATGGGGAAAGATATATTTTCTGTGCCTGTATGTTTCTGTCTTTAGGGAGTACAGCCCGCCACAGGTGAGGTTGTGTTCGACAGTTTCCAGGACTCCGCTTCCCGTTCAGAACTGGAAACTCGGATACTGTGCCTGCAGCCAGTGGAGCTGCTGCTTCCGTCAGATTTGTCGGAGCAAACGGAGATGCTCATCCACCGGGTCACGGCTATGAGGTGAGTTGGCACATCGCTGGAAGATAATGTGGATTCTGAAACCTAGATCTGATTCCCACGTGAATGCTTATCAAAGTCATTGAAAATCGTTTTTATTTATAAAAATATTTCATCATAGTAGTGGAAATTTCAAAAAAGAGAAACAGAATTACCCATAATGTCACCTTAATGTAGACCTTTAGAGATTGCTCTTTTTAAAGGGGTTTATGATATTTAATGCTATTATATGATAAGGAAAGTGTTATGGTATTGCTTAATGAGATTATTTGGTAGCTGATCTTCTGGAGATAATAATTTCTTAGAAAATTTATGTAATTTTGGAAATGCCTTATTTTTGCTCTAAGTTTCAATTTGTGGCTGAGTCCAATAGTTGAATTTACTAGATCTGTGGTCACTCCTCTTGTTGATGAGTCCGTGTGCTAGGCACCGTGGCCTATGGAGGAAGATGTGCTTGCGATGTGTGTCTGCAGCATCTGTAATCCAACGGGAGAGGAAGATAGGTACAGACCTAACTGGATTCACAAAGCGTGGTGTATCCATGACAGACATGAAGGTGCCCAGGTGGGACGACTCTGTGCTGTTCCCCAAGGAGTTTGGTGGGAAGAGACTGGAAAGTTGGCCTGGGACTCAGTGAAGAGGACGTCAGGTACTGAGGAATTGGACTTCAGGCCTGAGAACACATGAAGGTTTATGTTCAATAGGTTGACAGATCAGGTGGAAAATCAAACTGAATGATTCAGTGACGTTCTGTATGTTTCTTTGTTCTTTGAGTTGAATGTTTCTTTTTCCTTTGACTTAAAATTCTTTCAGAGTAGCTTTCATAATGTGTTTTTCTGATTAGAACACTAATCCATATTCATTCAGGAAAAGTTAAGAGTTATAAAAGTCCCATAAACATAACAGTAAGCTCTAACACAGAGATAACTACTGTTAAACATTTTGGTATATTATTTCTGTGTATATATATCCTTTCTTTTTGTTTATAAATTTTGATTTGTGTTGCAAAGTCAGTTTTGTATCTTTTTTTAATTTTTAACTTAAAATTTCCTATGTATTTTTTTTTCTTGGTATCATGGGAAGTGATCATTGAAATAATTTCTGCCAATTGGTTAGATTAAAATTTTGCATGAATTCCCCTTGTTTTGTTCTTAATCCTTTACTGACAGTGTTCAAACTTGAATAATCAAAAGTCAGACAAGTAGACTGATAAGAAATGCTGGATTTGGAAAGCTAAAAAAATTAATAAAATCTCAGAAGACTTTTAGGAGTCTTCTAAAACCGTGTTTCCCATATTTTGTGTTTTTGATTTTAATTTTCCTTCATAACTGAGTGTATACTTGATTAATTTAGATGTAAGACTAAAGTTAATCAGTTGAATCAACACATTCGTTTTTCTGATTTTCATTTATTTTTGTAAAACAATAAAGGCAGAATTCAATAAAATATCAAACATTCCACAAAGACATTGCCAAAACTGAATTTTTTTGCTGGTAGGCAGCATTGCCTGAGGATATTCATAAATGTTTACTCATGAGATGAGATTCAAAAGCCAAAGATAGTTTGGGTGTCATATGTGGGTTTTACCAAATTTGATAACTGCCTTTGTCTTGTTTTAATTTGTATTTCTCTGGTTAGCATTGGGAGTATGTAATTTTTCCCGTGTTTACTAACCATATGTAATTTTTATTTTACTCACATAATGGACTAAACATAGTCAACAATTAATCCGCATTTTGGCAACCCACTCCAGTATTCTCGCCTGGAAAATCCCATGGACGGAGGAGCCTGGTGGGCTATAGTCTGCGTCCGTGGGGTCGCAAAGAGTCGGACACGACTGAGCGACTTCACTTTCACTTCTGTTCAGTCTAAAGCTGATCTATGTCTATGGTCAGAATGGAGTAATAGACATTCAGATGTCCAACAGTGAAACAGTGTGATTCTCGTGACACAGGGTTTGGGTTGAACACGTGGACTTTCCCGTTAGTGACTTTGGGTGAGTCACCCAGTTCTGTTGCCTTCAGTTTCCGTTTCTTTCAAACAGAGAAAGTAAGAGCGTGTACCTCTCAGGATTGTTGTGAAGAGTAAATATAAAAAGTTAATATACCCTGGAGAAGGAAATGGCAACCCACTCCAGTCTTCTTGCCTGGAAAATCCCATGGAGGGAGGAGCCTGGTAGACTGAAGTCCATGGGTTCGCAAAGAGTCAGACACGACTGAGCGACTTCACTTTCACTTTCACTATATTGTCTGAAGAAGGAAATGGCAACCCTCTCCAGTAATCTTGCCTGGAAAATTTCATGGACAGAGGAGCCTGGTGGAATACAGTCCACGGTGTCACAAAGAGTTGGACATAACTGAGTAACCAAACAACTATGTTGTCAGATGGGACATTATCCTGCTTGAGCTGTATTAGCTCAGAGTAGTGGCAGTCAGGCTGTCACAGCAGAATTAATGGTTGCCTAGAACAGTAACCCTAAAATTAGGATAACCTATGTATATGCAAATAACTTTGTAGGAGATACTGTTTATTTATTAAAACACTGTTTTAAGACCAAAAAAAAAAAAAAGGTTAATATAAAGTGCTTGAAACAGTGCCAGCACAGAAGGCTCTGTGTAGATGGAAGCTGTTCTTTTTATCATTCCTCTTGGCCCTTGCCTTTTTAAATACTGCCTCTCTTCTACACTCTCCTGGAACTCCTACTGGAGGTGTGTGGGAACTTCACACCCTGCTGTCTGCATGGTCCTTTATGGTGTCATCTCCCATTTGCAGCTGTTTTCATATTGGTTTTGCTTCTTGGGGATTTCTTTTTTTTTTTTTTTTGACTCTTGAAAAAACATTTTTGATTATATTTTAATCACTATTTCTTTGTATTTTTAGTATGCTCCCTAGATCAAGTAAGTTCTCCATACTTACCGGAACATTCCATTATTTTTATATGTAGAAATATCTCTCCTTATTCTGCCAGTGCTTACATAATTGTTTATATTTTGTTTTAATCAATTTATTATTAAAATTTTGTTTTTTACATTTGACTTCTCATTTTTCCTTTATTTTCCTTTACTGTGTAGGTGTGGTCCTACCTTAATTTCTTTCTGAATGCTAGTGGGTCCACTTAAGCATTCATAAAATTTAGCCTTTATCAACCTGAGACAGAATTCCTAGCCTTGTTTTTAAAAAAAGTTAGCAATGGGGATAAGGAATGCTTTTAATTAGGGTATGAAGAACATAGCTTGCCAAAACTATGTTCCATGTTTACTATCAGTAAATAATATAGCATTGAACTGTCAAGGAGAAAAGTTTGTTTGGTTTTTTTTTGGTATCGTCTTTTTAAGTAGTGAGTAGTTTATTGTGTCTCAGATTCAGGATTCATTCTTTTTCTTTCACTTTAAACCAGAAAGTAAAACCAGCAGTTTTTGTCAGTTAATGGTTGATATTTTATTAATATGGAAGAAATAATAAAGTTTGTGAGAAAACCTAGAACGGCTTGAAATGACAGAATATCCATTTTAAGTATGTATTAGACGGTTTTTGCTTGTATTTTTAAACTTTGACCACAAGAGGGTGCCAAAAGCATTCCATTTATTATGTATTATGTTGTAAAGACTATGAAAAGCTTCACTTTTTGTGTGTCTAGGTAAAGACTTAATTACTTTGTATTGTATGAGAATTTAGGATGAATACTAGTCAAATGTAGTATAAACATAGTTATTATTTCTAAATAATGTTAAACTGTTGATTTTTCTTCAGTGAATTATCTTTTATAGATAATTTATATAAATTTTATAGATAATTTATGTAAAATGTGTTTTTAAGATTTCAGTTTGGTTCTTAGGAAATTAGTCTTTCTATCTTAATTGTTATCTTTTCCGATTGTTGTAAGAATGTACACGTTCTTACATTTTCTCTCTAGAGAGAAGCAAAGGAAAAACAAATGATTTTTAAGCACAGTGTTAACTGCAGTTAAGATCACTTTAGCTTAGAGATATGCTTATAAAAGAAGAAAGCTATCAAAATCAATAAACAAATATTAATTAATATTTACTAGTTCTCGAAGAAACTGATTTTTAAGGCAAGTCAGATGAACAGATAAGATGATGGTCAATTTTGAGTACAGAGAGGGAGAGCTTCCTGGGTCCTGGCACAGCCGAGGAAGGCCTTCTGGAGGAGGTTGGCTGGGTTGGGGACCTTTGCAGGATTGCAGGGCTTTGAATTGGTAGTGGGAAGAATGTTATGGTTGTGTATGTGTGGCAATGACATGAACCCTGAGGCACACAGGCTGGAACTATTAGAAGAGGTGTGAAGACAGAGGGGAGACTCTTCTGACTGGAGGAAGACTTCATGTTGAGAGTTGGTGGAAGAGAGAGACAAGGACCATAAAATCCAGCCAAGGGGTGTGAACTCTAGTGGAAAACAGTTGGGTCTCTGGGCAAAGGAATGGCGTGATAGAAGAGAGGCCTCCATGGGAGGGTTGAGTTAAAAAAAAACAATAGTTCTCATAAATGAAGAAAGTATGCAGAGAAAAGGATGAGACCAAGGAGTTTGCAGAATGTCAGTAGTTGGGAGTAGGGGGAAGAAGAATAGAAAGTTGCAGACAGGGGATAAAGAGCCAGTCAGAGAACCAGGACAAGGTAGGGATACATAGTTGTAGCCCATCTGTTGCAAATGATGGGGTCTGTGGTGTGTGTTAATTTTTTTTTTACAATATTGACGCTGTTACAATTTTCTGAAACTACATGGCATTTAAAAGGATATACTTGGAAAAAAAAAAAGATATACTTGGCAAAAAACTAACCCTAACCCTTTGATCCCATTTATCAGTCTGGTGAGAAAGGCAGTCTAGCTCCCCCTCGGCCTTTGCTAGTATGGATCAGATGGTATTTTTTTCTGTGGTGTTTGACTGGAGTAGGGTGGTTATTGTCTAAGAATTTTCGATCTTGCTTGGCTATGCCTTTCCTGCGTATCTGTCTGGGGAGAGCAGGCTTGTTAGAGCCTTTTTGTCT